TGTGCACACGTCGGCGGTACTCGAATATATGAAATCGACCTTGGTCCTAGCGGCTGACGCGATCTCACGCTCCACGCAGGCGTGTTTTTCTGACGGCCGACCGTGGACGACAGTGCCGGCGCGGCGAGTTGCCCCTTCGCCGACTGGCTAGTTCCCGAGGTCGCGCGGGACTGACCCCTGCGTCCCCCGAGAGCGAGACGCGAGACCTAGCGCGGCGGGTGGGTTGGAGGGGGAGGCTCGGCGCTCGCTGCGTTCTGCGAGAGGAAGGGCGGTGTAAGCACAAGGGAGGGATCGGTGGGAGAACGGCACGCCGTGGTGCGTAGCCGTCGAATCCAAAAGAATTTTTTCTCGACGCCCCTGTCCGAGGCCAGCTGGGCCACGGCGATCAGCACAGCCAGCTGCTGCCGAAGAAGGTCGAGGCCTTCGCTGACCAGTGCGTCTTCGCGGTGGCGGCGGGAGAACATAGCCTCGCCCTCACCACCGAGGGAGCCGTCTTTACTTGGGGCAAGGGCGAGAGCGGCTGCCTAGGCCACGGAGAGGACCTGTCCAACCAGCTGCTGCCCAAGAAGATCGAGGCGTGGGGTCCGGGGCAGTGATGAGAAGGGCGAAAGGGTGCGTGCCTCTTCGCCACCTGCGAACGTCTCCGAGGGAAGAGTCCGATCAATTTTCTTTTTTTTCTTCGCGTACCGAATACACGCCGTCGCGCCGCGTCGCCTCCGCCGCCGCCGCCGCCACCGCCCCCTCGCCAGACACGCCGCCGCCCGCCCGCCTCCTCGACCTCCCCACGGACCTCCTCTTGCGCGTCCTCGCGGCCGACGCAAAGCCACAACACGCGCGCGCATAATTCCCGTCGATGAACGCGATTCTCGACGGCGGCTGCCTCGCCGAAGTCCTTGGCCACCTCACCGATTGGGGCCTCTGCTGCGCCCGCAGAGTGTGCACGGCATGGCGTGACGCCGCTTCGACGGCCGGCGTCTGGCGTGCCGTCTTTGAGGGCATGCACGGAGCGCACTCCGTTCACTGGGCTGCCGCGCACGAGCCGGTTGCACTCGCGCCGGGCGACGACGAATGGCGCGCACGCTGCGCGCTCCGTCGCCGGGCAGCCACCAATAGAAGGCGTGGGCTCGCGCGCGCCCGCCTTCTTCCCTTTGAGATGGGTCCCACGGCTGCCTCATCACCTTTCTTCGTCGTATCGCTCGCCGTCGATGGGCCGTGGCTGGCGCTCGGTGGGCATGGCCACGTCTCGCTTCACGACCTGCGCACCGGCAAGCGCTGCTGGCAGCAGCCCCACGCTGCGAGCGCCGCCGGCAGCGACGACAGCGCGCACCTCGTCAGCATGGTGACGGTGTGCGCTGTCAGCGGGCACGTGGCGGCCCTCACGCCTGCCGATGGCACGGTGATC